GTCTCTTGCCTTGAAGACTTTACAGTGTCGCCCTTAGTCAGCTGTGACGCGACAGCAAGAAAAGAAAAGAAAAAGGATTCTAGTCGGGTAAAGAGGTACTTCTTCACACATCACGGAATAATTAGCATATGGAATTTGCTGACCATCCCTGGGTTTACCTGTTTGTGAAGCAGACACTTCTATAAAAGAGGTTTGTCAATAACCCTTAACCACTGTACCTAGTGGGGGAACCTCCATGTGCAGATAAGGAAAAGGGGCGTTGTAGTCATATCCCGCTTGTGAGCTTTTCTCAAAGCACCAACTGTTATTTATTTATTAGATTTATTACCCACCCTCCCAGCCAAGGCAGGCTCAGGGCGGCTTACATAATTTTTTTTAAAAAACCAATGTAAAAACATAAAATCTAAAGTGCGATACATACATTCCTATGCGATGGCAATCGTAATCCCAATATTTTCATAGCAAGAGTCAGTTAGTACAGACATAGTTGATGGGAAAGATCCCAGGGAGGCTCCAGTGTTATATCTAGACGTTAAATGTCGTCAGATGCCTGGTGGAAGAGCTCCGTCTTGCAGCCCCTGCGGAATTGAAGTAAATTTTGCAGGACCCTGGTGGAGCTGCCACAGAAAAAGGCCCTAGCCCTGGTGGGGGCCACTCTGGCCTCTTTCGGGGCAGGGAGCACTAGGAGATTTTACGTCCCTGAACGCAGTGCTCTCTGGGGAACATGTGGGGAAAGGCGGACCCTCAGGTATGCTGGCCCCTGACCATGTAGGGCTTCATTGGTGAGAACCAGCACCTTGAAGCGAATTCGGTATGCTGTAGGCAGCCAGTCCCAGTATGTGAAGCAGAATGCAAAACTAGATGGACTTGTGGTCTGATCCGACTGATGTTCTTCTTAGTCGTGATGGTTAGGAGCAGAACCTCCATGTACAGCGACAGTATACCTGAGGGAGAGCTGCTGTTAGTGAGCTTCCCAGAAGCCTCTGCTTGGGAGACAGGACTTTGGACTAGACAGGACTTTTTCTGCCATGACCCCCTTTGGCAGTCTGGTGAAGCCGATGGACCCTTTCGAAGTAGCGATGAGTGTAGGGATAATTTTGAGATATCTGCAGCAACTGTAATGTGATACGGAAATATCTGCAATTTCTATTGGTGAGAAAGTCACAGGTACCACTAATACGACTGTGGTTTGTGGCCTACATTCATAATGGAAGGAAATGCTCAATTTCAGTTAGAAGTTAGGGAAAATAAAGATGTCATTTCCCCCCCCCCCCATCCAAGTTCATGGACCCCCTGAAATCTGTCCATGGACCCCTTGGGGGTTCAGAATCCCTGGGCTAGATGAACTTCTGTCCTATTCCCATGGGGTGGGGCCTTTCTTTTAGCCTGTGTTAATTGTTGTATAGAATGTCTGCATTGTGCTTTCTGGTCGTGATAAAGATACCTTGCAGTGAAAGGGAGGGTGGTCTGCCCCCTCATTGACTCTGCGTGCATGTGCATGTTGCAAATGTGTGTTTTTGTAGTGTAGTGGTTAAGTGCATGGACTTTAATCTAGGAGAACCAGGTTTGATTCCCCTCTCCTCCACTTGCACCTGGCTGGATGACCTTGGGCAAGCCATAGTTCTGATAAGAGCTGTTCTTGAAAAAGAGCAGTTTGTGTCAGAGCTCTCTCAGCCCCACCTACCTCACAGGGTGTCTGTGGTGGGGAGGGGAAGGGAAAGGGGTTTGTAAGCCGCTCTGAGACTCCCTTGGGTAGTGAAGGGCGGGGTATAAATCCAAATTCTTCTTCTCCTCTATGTGAGCGCACACATACTGTTGGAGAGAGTGGGTGTGTGATGCCTCACTCTGTTCTCCCCCTCCCCAATTAATGCAGTTCCATAACTGTAGTGAGTCATTATTCAGATTCCAAGTGGGACTAGAAAGCATGTTTCTCCCCCCAAACCAGATTGAGGCATGGTGTGTTGTTCACATCCTCCCCCCTTCACTAAAGCCAAACCATCTAAATGCAAAGACACAGGAGCCTGCCGGCATTTGCCTTTCTAATTACTCTCCTCAAAGGTGGAGTGATGTAAATTATGTTTTTTTGCAAACACTTTCATACTTCAGCCTTGTGCAATGGGGTTGGGGTAGGATCCCATTACAGTCATTTCTGGAATGTGTCCTGATAATTGCAGATTCGTCCGGAATTAGGGTAGGGTTACTTCGTCCGTAGCCGGTAGAACCGGGAAATAGAGGGCGCCCCAGTCTTCAGCAGTGAGCTGATTCCCCAGAGAACAATTCCTGCTATTCAAGAGCAGCCAAGACCCAGCTGGAGATGGTACGGTTGGTTCCTTGGCTCTGGAGAAGTCTCAGAGTTGCAGTGCCATAGCTGTCTTCTCCCCACCCACCACATGCTTTATTTCCTCCCCCCCCCCCTTTACTGGAAAATAACCTGTCCCAGATCTCTTTGCAAAACGGAAGTTCCAAGAATGGTTTTGATCAGGAGGAAGGATCATCTTGAAGCGGCTGCGATGGATGCCGAACCCATTGATAAATCCAGCCACCCTGGGAGAACAGAGGGGAAAAAATGATTTCTAACATGTATAAAATCCTGTTAAAATGGTATACAGAAGATGAGATGGTTAAAGAGCAAATGCTTAAATGGGCTCTTAATATCAATAAGGAGATAACTATGACATCTTGGGAATATTTGTGGGAAAATGCTATAAAAATATCAACATGTACCAATATTAAAGAAAACTGTTATAAAATGATGTATAGATGGTATATGACACCGAAAAAGATAGCAAATATGAACCAAAATATGTCAAACAAGCGTTGGAAATGTAAAAAAACATGAGGGCTCATTTTATCATATGTGGTGGACATGTGAAAAAGCGATAGATTTCTGGTCAAAAATCCATTGTGAAATGCAAAAAATGTTTAAGTGTAATTTTAAAAAAGAACCAGAGATTTTATTGCTAGGATTGAAAATGGAAGAGTTAAACATACAAAAAACCCCCATGTTCTGGTACCTGATAACAACGGCGAGAATGGTATATGCATAATGTTGGAAACAAGAGAAGACGCCCGAGATCTCAGACTGGATTCAAAAAGTGTTATTTATGGCAGAAATTGATAAAATAACAAGAAAGTTGAGCAACAAAGAAGATCAAGAATTTTTTGAAGATTGGAAAGACTTTAAAGACTACTTAGAGGAAAACTGGGACGTTAAACACAATTTATTGTATTTAGAACAATATTGATAGAAGCGTTATCTTTAAAATTCAGTAACTTTAAGATGTTTAAGCAAATATAAGTATGGTAAAGGGAAAAAGGGCAGAGCACTGCGGGAAGCCATTTGTAAGGGAGGGGGAGGATGGGAAATATGGGTATTGGATAAGTGAAAGCCAATGTTAAATGTGTTATTATATCCAAAAAATAAAAGTTTTGTTCAAAAAAAAAGATAAATGCAGCGACCCTGCACTGGGCAGGGTCCCCCAGGTCTGGCAGTGGGCAATTAACTTGAAGGAAAGAAGAAACAATGATGGCTCCAAACACTAGCAGAGCAGATTTAGAGGAGGTGCTGAGAGTAGCTCAAACCTCTCCGGCTTTTGCCTCGTCTCCCACTAAAGCTGCAGGACCAAAGATCTGTGCAGCGTCCTGTTTCACTCCGCAAGCAACTAGATGATCCGTGAAGTCGTTGCTGTTGATCCCATTCCCCCCAGAAATTAGCATTCAGAGGTACACTGTCTCTATACATGGAGGTTCTATACCTAGTATGGGCAAAGAAGAGGCCTACTTGGTTGCAGGGGGGACGGACCTCTGCAAACCAATAATTTAAAAGAGCAAAGAGTGACTGAATGGAACATCACAGCAGAACTAAACAAACCAGCCAAGATCTTCGGAGAGAAAGCAGGGGAGGGAGACTGACCCGTAACCACCCGGAGGAGAATGCGATGGAGGACCCGTTGCCTCCATTTCCTGCCCGCAGTCTGAAGGCGGTGTGGTCCAGGGAGAGTGGCACTTCTGCAGTTCCTCTTTGGGCAGCTTTGCATTCAGCTGCACAAAGTGTTTTGCACTGAGATCAGCCAATAACAGTCCTTAATGATGCCTGTCTGATGTGTTCGTTTGCGTGTGCAAATCAGTAAGCGATAGATGTGCCCGTGTGATCTGGCCTGTAACCATACTCGACGTCCATACTCGATGCTTAGGCACCTTGGTGGACTGTGAGGGTGAACCTCTTCTGCGCTGTGGAAAGCAGAATAAATTGTCAAAGGCTCTCGGAGGTTGTAGACCAGAGAGAGGACAAGGCAAGCCTCCACCCTGGCGTGCTGGGTTTCTGTGACACAATCCTGTCTCCATTATTTTGTTGCCTCTTCCTTGAAAAACGGGTTTGTCTTTTTCAACTCCTCCTTCCCTGGTTACAGAACATGGAGCTTGACTTTATGAGCCCGGGTTTTCCAAACTTGGGAGGCTCACTTTGATAATATTTGGGGACCCTTCCTACAAAGGAGGGAATCTTCTTGGACTTTTTTTTTAATTTAAATTTTTTTATCGTTTTGAGTCATAACTGTAACAGATAAAGCTACAACATAGTGCAGTTATACATGTAAACATTGTGTAGGATCATGTAGACATACGTAGACCAAGAAATTTAAGGATATAGACAATTTATGTTTTCGTAGCAGTAAAATATACTGTTGCCTGATCGTTGAAGCAAAATAAAATATAATAAATATGATAGACATCATTTCTAACTGAAATAAAGCGATACAAAAATTAAGGGTAAGTATTTCCTACGTATCTGTATAGAGAAATAATCGATTGAAGAGACGTCAGTTCAACAGAGAGGAAAACATTAAATCCATTTATGAAATCGGGACCATTCAGAGGTAATAAATTGCTGATTGGACAAATAGTCTAAAACTGGGTACCACTTTCCAGCAAACCTCACATGTTTTTTTGTTCTGAACTTGGGTGTCAAGTTCTTGGACTTGACCTTTGCTTTCCTCTTGCAGACTCTGAAGATGGTGAGCGAGTTCAAAGTCAAAGTAGACCAGGAGAAGGTCCTCAAGTGTCTGGAGCTCCTGAACTTTCTCTTGAGAACTGTGACTCAGCAGGTACCTGTACATCTCTTCCTTCCTGGCTCTTTGTTGTTTACCTTTGCCCTTTATCCAGATCACACCGGTTTGGTGTCGTGGTTGGGAACGGGAGCTCTAATCTGGGAGAACCGGGTTTGATTCCCCACTCCTCCAGATGGAGCTGCTATGTGACCTTGGGTCAGTCACAAGTTCTTTCAGAGCTGTTCTCTCAGGAGCAGTCCTTGAAAGAGCTCTCTCAGCTCCACCTACTTCACAGGGTGTCTGTTGTGGGGGGGGGGGAAGGAGATTGTAAGCCACTCTGAGACTCCTTCGGGCAGTGAAGGGCAGGGTATAAATCCAATCTCTCTTCCTCCTCCTCCTTTTTCTGAAGGTGCTTTAAAAAAAATTAAGACAATTCCTGATGGTTTTTGGTACTCCCGAAGTCTCTCTTGATAAGGATGCCTGCATGCAGTGTTCCCTCTAAGCTGAGTTAGTGTGAGCTAGCTCACAGTTTTTTAGCCTCCGATTCACACATTTTTGTCGTAGCTCAGGAAGGATGGCTCCAGAGCAAACTAATTCATGCAGTAGGCAAATTGCTCGCTCAGAACTTTAATGCCAGTAGTTCACAAAGTAGAATTTTTGCTCACAAGACTCCACAGCTTAGAGGGAGCATTGCCATGGGGTGCTTGATGCAGGTTATTTTGAAAAGTACCATATTTACTTGAAAGGAACCTAAATGTAAGACAATCCTTTTTTAAAAAAAGTTTTACACAGTTTTTTTCCATGCCGTTTGCAAATTAAAACAGACCACTCTTTTTCTTGACGGCACATTTGGGCAAAAAAGTTAGCCTTCCTGTAGGCAAACAGGGTAACTCTGTTCAAATGAGAACCCTGGGCAGATATTCCTAGGCTGAATGTGCATAGGGGTGAGTGGAATCGTGCCCGTGAGGCCTTCTTGGTGTTTGCTCATTAAGGAACGCATCAGATCCTCATAAATATACACTTTTCTCTCTCCATTTTTATCCCACGCTTCTTCCAAGAGCTCAGGGCAACACACAGAGTTTTCCCCTGTTGTAGTCTAGCACTCTAACAACTGCACTGTGCTATCTCTCATTTTGCACATGATTGGAAAACATGGTTCTGAATCATGCATAAGATGCCTAGGAACCTGTACTTTTGTGTGCGCACAGAGCAGTGTGCAGGAGTTCTGCTGAATGCAGATGTTTGAAGGTGAGGAGGTATACCTGTGGGCATACTCCCTCTCCTCTCTACCTACTTAGGGACATTGCAGAGAGAATATGAATCGGTCTCTCTTTTTTAATTGATTCAGTCAGTGGATCAGTAATTCATGTTCTCTGTCTGTTAGTGAATCCGATTAAAAAGGTAAAGGTTCCCTTGCTCGAAAGCCAGTCGAGTCCGACTCTAGGGTTGCGGTGCTCGTCTCCGTTTCAAAGCCGAAGAGCCAGCGCTGTCCGAAGACGTTTCCGTGGTCATGTGGCAGGCATGACTAAACACCAAGGCGCACGGAACGCTGTTACCTTCCCACTGAAGTGGTACCTATTTATCTACTTGCAATGTCTTGCTTTCAAACTGCTAGGTTGGCAGAGACAGGAGCTCACTCCGTCATGCGGCACATTTGGGTCTCGAACTGCTGAGCTACTGATGTTCCACAGCCTGCAGTTCAGCGTCTTAACCACTTGAGCCACTGCAGCTCTAGTGAATCCGATTAGGCCCACAGTAATGACATGAAGAACAGTAGTGTGCATATCTGACTTGCACAAAAATTACATCCTTCCATGTTTGCTTTTGGGGCAGGTGAGCCCTCGATGTCAGCCCCAGTCACACACTTTGATATATATATTTTCAGTAATGTCACCTCAAGGTGATTCTTTTCTTCTTTTTTTGGAAGTAGTGAATCTTCCTTTTGAGTGCACTCTCCCGTGGTGTGAGTCAGAGTCCAGGAGGGGAAGCCCATTGAAAAGAGCGTTTCGTCGCATCAAAACGATGGAGGGGAAAAATCCTCCCAATGTTGACTTCACCATGCTGACACAGCACACAGAATTGGGTCGCTGTAGACAGATCTGCACGGTTTCTTCCTTTGTAGTTTAGAATCTGTTTCTCCTTGGGCTGCTGCATACCAAGTGCCCTGGTTTTATGCCCCTTTTCCAGAAGCTGAACGTGGACCTGACAGACTTGCGGGAGGTGCTGCAAGCGCTGAGTCAGCACGAGGGATTTGGGAAATCCACACGACTCTGGAACGTCTACTGGAACGTCATGACGCTCCTGGGCTTCACGTGAGTGCTTTCGGTCTGCCTCTTGGGGCGTCAACCCAGATCGTCCCAAGTCCCAGACTGCACCTGCTGAGATCTCACCTGCACTTTGTAAAGTGGCTAGAGGTAGAGGATGAACATCAGGGTCTAATGCAAGCTGGTCCATTCTGGAGAACATTTGACATTTTTTTTTACCCCTGGACGTTATTTTAATCTGTAGCTAATAAGGGGTCCAGTTTGGTGTAGTGGTTAAGAGTGTGGACTCTTATCTGGGAGAACTTGGTTTGATTCCCCACTCTTCCACATGCAGCTGCAGGAGTGACCTTGGGTCAGTCACAGTTCTCTCAGAGCTGTTTTTTCAAGAGCAGTTCTCGAAGAACTCTCTCAGCCCCACCTACCTCACAGGCAGTGTTCCCTCTAAGCTGAGTTAGTGTGAGCTAGCTCACAGTTTTTTAGCCTCCAGCTCACACGTTTCTATCTTAGCTCAGGAAGGATGGCTCCAGAGCAAACTAATTTATGCAGTGGCCAAATCGCTTGCTCACAACTTTAATGCCAGTAGCTCAAAAAGTAGAATTTTTGCTCGCAAGACTCCACAGCTTAGAGGGAACATTGCTCACAGGGTGTCTGTTGTGGGGAGAGGAAGAAAAAGGAGATTATTAGCTGCTCTGAGACTTCGAGTGAAGGGTGGGGTATCAGTCCAATCTCTTCTTCTTCTCTTCTGTTGATCGACCCCCCCCTCACTTTCATGTGTTCCTTTAATGTGATGTCTGCACAGGTGTCACCAGCTATTTTGGGGAGGATTTTAACACACACACACACACACGGTTTGGGGGGGCAATTTTGTGTATTTTTTCCTGCAAACCTAAGATTACTCCAAGTTCACAGAAACATATACTCTGGCCTTGGGTGCCTGCTCTCACTTTTGAATCATGGAAGGACCACCTCTTGCTATAGCTTCTTTCCAGGGCTCTTTTTGTAGAAAAAGCCCAGCAGGAACTCATTAGCATAATAGGCCATACCCAACAGCAGGAACTCATTATCATATTAGGCCACTCTGACCGCACCACTCATTAGCACATTAGGCCACACCCCCATGTTACCAGAAATGCGGTCATCCAGCCACACCCACCTTTTGCTTCTTATTCTGTTTACCTTGTTTGTGGTCAAACCCAGGGCCTTTTTTTGTAGCAGGAACTCCTTTGCATGTTAGGCCACACACCCCTAATGTAGCCAATCCTAATGAGTTTCTGCTGTTGGGTGTGGCCTGTTATGCTAATGAGTTCCTGCTGGGCGTGGCCAACTCAGGAGCCAGCCGGAACTCCGTTCCTGTGCGTTCCTGCCCAAAAATAGCCTTGCTTTCTTCTGTCCTGAGTCTACTACCCACGGAGCAGTGCTCTCCCAACAAGGGTTACCAGGTGTGTCCCCCCCCCCCCGGGCCACTGGTGGGGGATGGGGGTTATGGTTGCCAGGTCCAGGTTGGGGAACTCCTGGAGATTTGGGGGTGGGGCCTGGGGAGGGCAGGGACCTCAGTGGGGTACAGTGCCATAGAGTCCAGCCGCCAAAGCATCCATTTTCTCTGGGGGAACTGATCTCTGTAGTCTGGAGATGAGCTGTAATTTGGGGGATCCCCAGGTCCCACCTGGAGGCTGGCATCTCTATCTCCAACTACTGTTTTCTGCCACAGTGGGGAATTTAGCTAAAGGAACGGGGAACGTAGAACAATTTATACTCCTTATTTGCTCCAGAACATCTAGTACTGATGAAGCAGACAATTTCGTTCTGTCCACGAATGTCTGTTTTGCTTTAACATCCTTTCCTAGCGTGAAGTCCATCAAGTGAAGCTCTTTTGTTCAGTTCAGCCTCTTGTTGACAGAGACCATACGTACATTTCCACTCTTGACTTACAGGCGGCCGGCAAAGGAGAAGGCGTCAGCCCAGCCAAAGAACCCAACTGAGGCCGAACCTGTGAAGCGGAAGAAAAAGGGTTTCCTGCCAGCTTCCAAGAAGCGCAGCAATCGGAAAAAGGTTCCTGAGCAGCCTCAGGAGAACAGTGCTGAAAAGAGCGCGGAGGCCGTTGCGGATGGCACGGAGGCTGTTCCAGCCAAGAAGAGGAGGAAGAGAAAGAACAAAAGAAAGAAAGGAGGAGGAGGAGGAGACAACCAGAACAAAGCCCCCAAGCAGCAGGGCTCTGTGGCCAAGAAGCCAAAGTTACCACCAGGCAGTGCCAAAGAGACTGACTCGAAGCTTGGCAATTTGAAGAAGAAAAAGAAGAAAGCGAGAAAAGGCAGAAAGCCAGTTCATGTAGTTGGGAACTGATTCATAACTGTGGGGTGGGAGAGTCTTTTATAAATGTATAGAGAGTTAACATTTTGCACCCTTGTGTTATTTTAATAAACTATCTGCGTTGCTAATAACGCACAGCCAGGTTGTCTGAGTTTTGGCTCAATCCACCACTCCCCGATTATAACTGGGATGTCCTCTTGAGCCAGTCAGTTACCCCAGGCAATTAAAAAGTGTTTTTGATCACTGATGATTGGGCCCCCCCAGTTAATTAGAAAGTGGGTTTCTCAGACAAGGTGTTTGTTTTCCAGTTTGGTGTAGTGGTTAAGTGCGTGGACTCTAATCTGGGAGAACCGGGTTTGATTCCCCACTCCTCCACTTGCAGCTGCTGGATGACCTTGGGCAAGCCATAGTTCTGTCAGAGCTGTTCTCTCAAGGGCAGTTCTTGAGAGAGGTCTCTCAGCCCCACTGCAAGTCCTACAAGAGATCTGACGAAAACTGCAACAAACAGGCAGTTGCCAAAATTATAGGAAGATCAGTTACACTTTTCCTCCGAGGAGAGCACAGATGGATTTCTCCTGCTCTTTTATCTTTGCAACAACCTGGCGAGGTAGGGTGTGAGAGAGACGGGAAAGTGGCCCACAATTCCCCAGGGAACCTCAGTGAGGACTGGGTCCCAGGTCCTAATCCGACACTTGCAGCTGGAAGGAGGGAAACCAGCTGGACGTCCCTTGGCCAAATGTCTCTATAAAGTCCTTCTTGTACCCGTTCACTGAAATTCTGAAAGTACACATGCACAGAGAGAGAGAGAGAGAGCGCTCTTAGTGTAGTGTAGGGTAGAGTCTTAGTGTAGTGGTTAAGTGCCCGGAGTCTAATCAGGGAGAGCTGGGTTTGATTCCCCACTGCTCCACTTGCAGCTTCTGGATGACCTTGGGCAAGCCATAGTTCCGACAAGAGCTGTTCTTGAAAAAGAGCCGTTTCTGTCAAGAGCTCTCTCAGCCCCACTTACCTCACAGGGTGTCTATTGTAGGGAGGGGAAGGGAAAGGAGTTTGTAAGCCGCTCTGAGACACCTTTGGGTAGTGAAGGGCGGGGTATAAATTCAATATCTTCTTCTTCTTCATATGTTACTTAGAAGTACTGCTGACAGTGGCTGCCATCTTAGAAGAAGCACTCTCCTTTCTCCTTCACCACATGGAGGAGTCATTTGACAGTTAAATAACTGACCCCCATATGATGTTCAAATTTCCTTCAGTGCAGTGACAACTCAAATTAGAACAAAGGACAAGGACCATGGTAACCTTAGGCTTGTGCTTAAGACAAAAAAAAAAAAAAAGACTTGGGTTACCCTCTACCTGTCCCTCTGGAGAAAGAAAATATGGACGACTTCCCTTTACAGTAAATAGCAGATCAATTAACATCCTGACAAAAAATGGTTTGTGGCCTATACAAAAGCTGCCCATAAATCAAATATGATGAGCATACAGACATTTTTTAAAATGTTTGCCCTCTTAACACCATTGTATATTAATCGTGTTCACATAACTCTTATCAGGCTGCTGGTAACCTAGACTCCAGATCAGTTAACTTAATTGCATGTTTTTCTGTGGTTTTAAATTTTTAACAGGACCGGGGCAATCTATGCTTCAGATCTCTCAGCAGGACCGGGGCAATCTATGCTTCAGATCTCTCAGCCGTGGAGCTCACTGGGTGACCTTGGTATCCCACCTGATCTCCTCAGACTCAAGGCAGCTAACAACTAGATTGTGAGATCCCAAAATATACCAGTCCAGGTAGGAAGAGTAAAACACAGAGTAATATGTACAAATCACAAACTAAGACACACTCCGTTTTTACAGAAACTTCGAGAACTAAAACAAAAACCCCGTGCAGAATTAAAACAAACACATCTAAATTTGCTGAAAGAATTTACCCTCAGGATTTCTCTCTGATGCCTCATAGGGTGGTTGTGAAGGGGGAAAAATGGGGAAGAGGAAACCCATATATTGCTACTCTGGACTCTTTGAAGGAAAAGACTAGGTAAAAATGTAATTTATTATTTTTTTAAATGGATGTTTCTCGACAGGTCATGCGTTTGTTATAGTTTCTGTGTGGAATATATTTACCTCAACATGAAAAGTAGTATAGTTAGAAAAGGCTTTCGCTCTCTAAATAATAATTTAGGGAGTGAATTGCTCTTAAGTTTCCCCCCTCCCCCCCTCTTCAGGAACTTTGATATTGGAAGAACCAAGCAAAATAGAAGAAGAAGAGGTTGGATTTATACCCTGCCCTTCACTACCCAAGGGAGTCTCAGAGCGGCTTACAAACTCCTTTCCCTTCCCCTCCCCACAACAGACACCCTGTGAGGTAGGTGGGGCTGAGAGAGCCCTTCTTCTCTGCCCTGGCAATGCCAGTATAGTTGGCTTTTTTTAAAAAAAACCCTTTCTTCCTTTTCTGCCTCTTCTCTGTCCTTCAGCCTTTCTTGTCCTGTTTCTATGTGGGGTGGGAGAGGATTGGATGTTGACGGCAGCGTAGGAGGTAAAGAGCACAGCAGGGCTGTTTGCTCTTCCCTGGCTCCCCCCCCCCTTCTTCCCCCTCTTTTCAAATTCACAGTTTTAATTATTCTTTAATGATACTGTCAGAGCTTTCCCCCCTCTGTGCGTGCCTTTAAGGAAACAGCTGTTCATTTGCTGTGTGCATGTGGAGAAAGGCCCTGTCAGAGAACGTTCACAATAGCTGTTAAGTTTTTCGTTAAGGGAAGCCAGTCTCGGTTTGGCGCTGGAAGGGCTGGCGAAGCAAACATCAGATGGCTCATGCTGCCAGCCCCCGTTGAGGCGCAATGCTATGGGGATGCTCCATTTTCACCTCTCTTGGGGCTTGGGCAAGAGGCCTTTTGACATGTCTCATATGGATCTCACTGACCCTTTTGCGTCTCCTTCAGGAATGGACAAAGAGGCTTAAGTATTTGAGTGAAAGCGTAATAATCTAAAATGGTTGACACCGACAGGTCTGTTCTCAATATCCCAGGGATTCTGGGTATTTGGGCCAGACTCACCCATCTGGCTAGTTCCGTTTGGAGGACCAAGCTAATCACCAGATGTAGTATTTCTTGATGTTGTGCTTAGCTGTCTGGGTAGCTGTGAATGTATGAAACTGCCTTATACCAAGTCAGACTGTCATAAGAACATAAGAGACGCCAATGTTGGATCAGGCCAATGGCCCATCCAGTCCAACACTCTGTCACACAGTGGCCAAAAATACCAGGTGCCATCAGGAGGTCCAGCAGTGGGGCCAGGACACTAGAAGCCCTCCCACTGTTCCCCCCCCCCCCCCCGCCAGGAACCAAGATGACAGAGCATCACTTGCCCCAGAGTCCCTATCTATACCGTGTGGCTAATAGCCACTGATGGACCTCTGCTCCATATGCTTATCTAATTCCCTTTTGAAGCCGTCCATGGTTGTAGCTGCCACCACTTCCTGCGGCAGTGAATTCCATGTGTTAATCACTCTTTGGGTGAAGAAGTACTTCTTTTTATCCATTCTAACCCGACCGCTCAGCAATTTCATTGAGTGCCCATGAGTTCTTGTATTGTGAGAAAGGGAGAAAAGTACCTCTTTCTCTACCTGCTCTATCCCATGCATAATCTTATAAACCTCAATCATGTCACCCCTCAGTCTTCGTTTCTCCAAGCTAAAGAGCCCTAAGCGCTTTAACCTTTCCTCATAGGGAAAGTGTCAGTCCATCTATCTCTCAGTTTCTGCTCTGTGGGGCCGTGGCTCTTTGGGGTCTCAGTGAAAGATCCTTTCCTCTGGTATATAAGTGCTAAAGACTCCCACTTGTCAAGTTTGTTAGATTCACTGGTATGGTAAAGCCTGTGTCAATTTAGCAGAGTGCACAAGGCTAGACGCAGCAGTAGCTTTCTTTGTTCTGTGTGTGCTGTCAAAGTTATAAAGTTGCTCAGAGCCACTTGTCAGTCTCAGACTAACAAGAGTACCTTTATTAAGGAACTGCATTCTAGATAGCAAAGGTGAGAGATAGGGATAGATACCTATTCTAACTACCTTTGGTGGAAGTAGATGAAGCATGCATCCCTGGTGCCAAAGGTGGAGAAACGTGCTCCTTTTTTGTGTGTGTGGGAGAGAGAGAGGCCGAAAGGAAATAAATTGATCCCTGGGAGTATCAGCCTACACAGCAAAGGAACAGCAGCAGAAGAATAAACAGGGAGTATGCCAAGAATCTGCCTGTCTATCTCTCTAACTCTTTGTTGACTTCTTCTGGAGGCTGAGGCTAAGGGACAGCATCAAGTCCTTCTCTTCCAACGAAATTGATCCATAGAGAGACAGTACACAATGTAGTCGAGGGATGTGAGGGGCCAGCCCCATGTCAGTGCCACTGCGAGATCTTTGGAGAGAAGTGGTAAGATACAATGGGAGGTGGCTGAAACAAAGCATGTGGATATGCTTAATGCTGGATCTCTGGGAAGGGTTTAAATGTTTGCAGAGGTGTGTGTGTGAGAGAACCTCTCCAACATGTGGTGGTATTCACAGGACAGGAGTTCTCAGTAGGGTGTGAATGTCCCCAGCTCTAAGCCGGCCTGGCACCGGTGATCACAGGGGGAGGTCTTGTTTTGGATTCTCTCCATTCAGTCTCAGTTGCTTTATTGTGCTGAATATGTAATTAGGCTCTGAAGCGATGTAGATTCACATTTGCATTTCCTCTCTTGAGGAATAACCCCATCCGCCACACACCCCAAGTAGCACCAATGCCGTCTTTTCTACATTTTGCATACAGGCTGCTGTTGCATGCCGAATTTGTACTCTACATCAGGGCTTGTTTGGCTGGGGAATCTTGTCCTGACGGGCATAACACTGACTAAGCATGTGCCTTTGCGAGGCTTTGTTGCAATTCTGCACATTTCAGCATGGGGGGGGGGGGAATAAGATGCGTAGCCATTTCACAGTCCCTTTCTCTCCGTGTTGTATTCATTTATTCAGCAGTATCCTGGTCAGGGCTGGTTTAAAAGCTGATGTTCTTTTGATTGAAGATACTCCAGAAAACATCATCACCCTATTTCTCAATAGTTCATAAGGAACTCAGTGGGTATCAGGTGGCACTGCATGGTACTGCAGTACTCGTGTATGTTACATACTTGTATAGTATAGTCA